TGCAGCATAGACTGATAAGAACTTTTCGTTACTGGATTGTGAATTCAAATTGCACAAAATTAAAAATAATTAATATTTATTAATATTTTAATAATGTTTCAGGAATATTAAAATATAATACCTAGGTTTATTATATAAGTGGACATATAACCTCTATAAAATACTCCTGTAATATTAAAAAAATATTTATGATATTTGCGAAATATTATAATAACATTATTTTAATTTTTTAATAATATTCATGTAACATTTTAGGAACATTTTGCGCTTATAGGGTAGTTTTATGTCTTTCTTTGTTATATTCATTTCTTAAATTATTATGAATGCGTCTCACTAAACACAGTAATAAAGCCATATCATCAGAGGAGGGGGAATAAATAATCAATCACACGAGTGACGGAAAATATGAAGAAGAATGAGCTAAAACGCGTTGGCGGCATACAAACTTGGGATTTAATCTCTATTCGCTGTCACAAAACTCTCTCGAGTCATTATTTGGGGAATTAGACAGCAAGAGAAACACGTACTCGCTCGCTATCCGCATATATCCTGTGATAACGTCAATGCCATACAATACTAGACAATGTGATAAGTCTCTGGTGAGTCCGGCTGAGTTCTTTTCTTTCAGTACGCACGGCGCCTCGCCCTCGTACTTAATCCGCACCCTGAAAATTGATCCGCCTGACACAATGTCGTAAGGTTTCGTTGAACTGCATAACTAGATGTGGTCGTTATACAGTCTGATATATTTCGCGCAAGCATATTGACATCGATGTGAAAAAGACACGTAAGTACATCCCTTCATAAAAAAATGGTCCAAATCGAGAAAGGATGGTGAAAAATATCGTTTTTCTTTCTACAGAATTTTCCGGAATTTTTACAGAATTTTTACGAAATATTAGTTAAAATTTAGATGTTTTTCGTGGAATAATTTTTTAAAAAAGCATTTATTTAACATAATTATATACTGTACTTCTTTATAAAATAGCCAGAAACATGGAACTTTCGGAAAAATTTAAAAATTGATTTCGGATAAACCAAGAAAATTTAGTTGCTGAGAATAATTGAAAAAAACATTTGGTAATTTGAGAGCATTCAGCATTCCAATTCCAAAATTTATTAAAATTAGACACGAGTATTTATAATTTTACAAGTGAGAAGTGAGACAAGCATCTTATAGTTTCAACAGCTTCAGTTGTTCGTTCAGCGTGCATAAATATCTTTTCAAGGATACATTAGAGGAAAATGGATCCTGAGAAAATGAAGTCAGAGTCTCAGCAAGATCTACTATCTAACGAGATGAGATCGCCGTCGGTGCAATCGTTACAGACACATAATATTGACTATATTCTTGGCCCAGTCGAGAAACATTTCCTGCTTAGCGCAGAACGAGGTGATTGTGCCACTGTCAAAAGGTAATCATGAATTTTTTTGCATTAATATTTAAAAATATTTTGAGCACATAAAATAATCTATAGATTCTTGGGATAAACCCTTTTTATTACCGTGATGTAGATCAAATATATAAATAGATATGTGAAACATTATGTAAATACACGAAAAAAACAATGTGGTTGGTCTACACTGCAGAAATCTGGTGCTAACCAGATCTGGGATGCTAACCAGATTAAATAGTAAAATACGGAGCAACTATTTATGTGGTTGCTTGAACCGCAGTACAGCCGATCACAGAAAGATACACTTTTTTAGACAGCTACACTTTTTTTCGATGGATTTCGAGACTCAGCTTTGTTCGTAGAGCGGTTGAACGTAAATGGTTACATGGTTACATCTATAAGTAAGAACCAATCACACACTCGGTGAGGAAGTTGCACTCCAAAACTCATAAAAAAAAGTGTTGCAACCTTCCTGTGATCGGCTGTGCAATGATTGAATGACTATTGTGTTGCAGCAATGATGGTACAACCAGACTGTTTCTTGAGCATTCAATCACGAATGTTTTAATGGCAACTACATCATTTGGTTGGTTTAGATAAATTATGTTGATATGATGAAAAGACTAACGATTAATATCTCATGGTCCACTTTTTTTACCTTTTTTTCGTTCATTTCGTACAAAAACATGTCGAACGAGTCTAATTTCTTAAAAATCGGTGAGGAAGGTAGAATTCTTGAGTGCCAATCTTTTTATTATATAGGGTAAAAGCAGGGATTATGGCATAGGTTACTAATATGTGGCCTATTTTTTAAACAAAGCATTGCAATCTGGCGGCAATCGCTGAAAGTTATTGCAACTGTTACCAAACATATCATAACAAGCAATAAACTCGGTCCGACCAACCGTTTTGCTACAATTAACATTTATTCATTTTCGTTACATCAGGAGATCCGGCAGCTTTTTTTAAAAAGTGTTCTCACAAACTGAAGGTAAGTTTTTTTAATGCTTATATTGCACAGACGCTATTAATAATGTTGCATGAACAATATTATGCAGATTAATTGCTATTTCAAACTTGTTTATTGCTACGGAAAGACTTTGTTTGTCATATGACGACATGCAGGTAATGTGGAATACATCGAGGGTTGAGAATATAACTTTTTAATTCTTCTTGTGAATAATGTTTATTTTAGATTATAATATTTATTGTAAGTCATAATTTAATTTGATTCAAGATTTAATTTTATTCTTTATTGTCCATGTGTAATAACGTTCAATGATGCTATTATATTTTCTGTGTTATTGTACAATAAAAATGTGAACAGTTTTCTATTTTTTTTATCAGTTTACATAAATAAACAAATTTGGACTTCATTTATTGTGTTATTTATTACTATGGTCAAAATTTCATCGGTATTCCATATTACATCCCATTTTTTAGACCCCCCCATTTTCTCACTTTTGATTTTTTTTGTTAATATTGACGTTGGACTTAAATTTTGGCGACTTTCATTTATTGGATGTTATAGCTAACATATTCCTCAAGAGTTCTGTGTAAATTTAAAGTCTTCATATGCATTTATATCGCAGCAATGTTAATTTAAAAAAAGCTATTCCATAATCCCTGCTTTTACCCTATATACTTTCAAATGCAATAAAACGCAACAGTTTTATGCGTTTCAACGCATTCTTGCAGCAACGCTCATTCGTAGCGTAACGGAACGACGAGAAACCGATATGACGATATAACTTTTCACGTTAGACATATCTATGTATATACGGGGACATAATAATGACTTAACACTAGAAGTTGCATGAATATATCGGAGGAGGCATGAGAAGGAATGAGAAGAAGACATGAAAAGAAATGAGAAAGCATGAAAAGGCATGTTAAGGCATTTGTATCCCCGTGTGTATAACGCGTTTGAATTTATGTGTCGTAAGCCGCTTTTGCATTTGCAATTTGAGGAAACAAATACGACTCGCACACAACTAGATACATTTATATCCCCCAACCAAGTTTTCGTTGTCACAATCATATCACGCAATTTATCGAGCGTGTCTAACAAGTAATTTAAAATTTGTTGACCGATGGGAAAACATTGTTAGAGCATAAATAAAAATATACAAGGACTGAATGTGTATGATTCTAAATTAACCCTTGGTAGAGTCAATAAATAGCTATGCTCCTCCTATATATAATTATACTACTTATATAATTTATTAAGCCACTTTTTAGTAATTTATTTATTTTTAATTTTTATAAACAAATTAAAAATTATGCGTTTTTACACAGAAATAATTAATCCATTAACTCTTAATTAATTCAAAATTACTCTAATAAAAGATGGCCTTTCACAAAACTTGATTGTAAAAATTAACAATTTCTATTTTTCATTCAAATATAATTTAAATCGGGAATTTTTTAAGTTAGAATTGGAGTCATAAAAATGTACGATATTAAGATTTGGCGAAACAGTTGTAATAACTTATAATGTTATAATAACTTTTTTTAATACTTTTATTGAAGAAATATTTTTGTTAAATAACTATATTGACTAAAACAAATTACGATTACACAAAGACACTTGATAATTCTGTGATAACTATATCGATTAATGCATTGTTAATTAAAAATCAGATTAAAAAATTTCCTAAAGGTACGTTTTAGTTGCACAAGGGAAGTTAAAGTTTTGCCAAAACAAATATTGAAGATGTGAGATTGCCATAATTGGCAATATCACTATTAAATCTTTTTAGACATTCATATATAGCAAATATATTGTCTTGGAAAAGAAAATTGTCTTCTCTAAGGAAAAAGATGATAATTGTTATGTAATTTATTGAACAGATTAATTCAGGAAAATCAAGATCACCCGGAAATATTAAATATCAATTGCGTTGATCCATTAAATCGATCGGCACTGATAGCCGCTATTGAAAATGAAAACACTGAACTTATAAAGCTGCTGCTCGAATTGGGAATTGAAGTGAAGGTAAATATCATGGGGTCGAAACGGTACAGCATCTCTCATAAAAATCATTAGCAACGGCCGCTCCCTTAATTATCACTGGTAATGCGTGTTGCGCTGATACTTATAAAATTTTCACCATAAGTAAAACAACGTGTAAGCTGTAAGCCACTAACAATCGATGTTGTTATATTAAACATCTGCGTTATACTGCGTCCTAGCTACATTCTGACGTTCAAGAGCGTAAAACACTTAAAGCCATAATTCTTTCAGGATGCACTTTTACATGCTATTAAAGAAGAGTATGTGGAAGCAGTAGAAATCCTGCTAGAATGGGAGGAAAAAATACACAAACCGGGACATCCTTATGTAAGTCCGACGCCATTATTTTGTTATACAGGATGTTAGTTAAATATGTTGCCATATTCAACAGAGCGATTCTTTGGTTTATTTCAAGTAAAAAAGTCCATATAAACATGTGTCCTAAACGGCTTAGTTTCCGAAATACAGGTGAATGTTCGCAAATGTTTGACGAAACGGTAAATTGCGTTGGAGATATCTTCCTGCATAAATATGCCTTACTTCACATGAGTTACCATTCGCACAACCGTAAACAAAGTGACAAAGTCAAAGTCAAAGTCACAAAATCAAAAATAAACTTCAGTTCTGATCTTTGAGTGTGTACGTCAATCTTTGAGAAGAAGGCTTGATGGATGTATCATGGCGCAAAGTGGACATTTTCAACAATTCATCTAATTGTTTTATTTCATCAGAAGAACTGAAGCCTGTTTTTTTGTTTTTCTGTTTTTGACTAGTTCAAACTGTATTTCTTTCAAATAAACAGATTATTACTACACATTTAAATTTTTTTATTTCGGAAACTAAGCCGTTTAGGACACATATTTATATGAACTTTTTTACTTGAAATAAACCAAAGAATCGCTCTGTTGAGTATGGCAACATACTTAACTAACACCCTGTATATACATATTGTATACAAATATATATATTTTTTTTAATTCTAACAGTACAGTATCTAAATCTTCAATAAATTTTCGATATCAAATATTAATATAAAGCTCTTTATTGATTATATAAAATATAAAAGTATATAGCTATAATATCACCTGAGGTTATTATTTATCCTGCACATTTTATTCCATTTGAGCCGTACACAATGTTTCACTTTGTGCATTCCTGTGTACATTTGTGTTAAGATATGTTAAGCAATTGGAAGGCACACTTAATCATTAATTATAAAAATAGAAACTTTCATATTTTTTGTTCAGAGTTGGGAAGCCGCAGATTCATCATCGAATTTTACATCTGATATAACTCCACTGATTTTAGCAGCTCATAAAAATAATTATGAAATACTGAAACTGCTCTTAGATCGTGGCGCAACTCTTCCCACACCTCACGATGCTAGGTATACAAAAAGATATGAAACGTATTTAGTAATAATAGTTCTGTAATTGTAAAAAATTTGTGATCGAATTTATCGAAGTGACGTCTGTCTAACTATTCGTCACTATATATTCTTTTTGGTTATATTACATCAATCTGTTAAGTTTTCTTCTTTTTTCCCTTGATTCAGATTTATGTCCTGTCTTGATCAGGGGTTATTTAGCTTTATCTATATGCCGTGGTGTAGGTTTCATTTGCTTACAACGCTCATGAACATCATTTGTCCTTGTTTAATATTTGATAAATAACAAGGATGAAATAATTCCAAGAGCGCTGTGAGCAACCACTAAACGCGGTCTGACTAAAAGTGCATATATTCTACTTAACGTTCACAATGCTCGCTAGCATCATTTTATCCTTGCTGTCACCAAAACAAAGATGAAATAATTAATGCATGGGAGCGTTACGAGCGTTGGAACGTACGCTAAGTCCTTTTTCGTGTATATATATTCCTTTTAAATATATATACTCTATAATTAACGCGCAAAAATGTCTATTTTCAGTATTAAACCCTGAGAGTAATAATAGTTCTCAATTAATTACTTTATTATTATTTTTTTGCATTTTAAATCAAATAAAATATTTAATGACTCGAACTTTTTGGTGCAGATTATGTTAATTAATTTTTTCACTTATATAATATATAAATAAGTTTGTTGAGATGAGAAGACGCAGCATTGCCATTTTATTGCAGATGTGGTTGCGATGAATGTGTCATGTCCAGCGAACAAGACTCTCTCCGACACTCGCAGTCACGAATAAACGCGTACCGAGCACTCACTTCGTCATCTCTAATCGCACTTTCATCAAGAGATCCACTTTTAACAGCTTTCGAGCTTTCATGGGAACTGCGTCGTCTCAGCAGGATGGAGCAAGAATTCCGTGCTCAATACAACGTAATTACTGATTTACTAACTCTTGCCTTTTTTCTTTTTTTCCACATTTATAAGGTGTTCTCCAGGATTGGGAAATAACGATATAAAACTAAAGAAATTTATAACTTTTTTATCTAATGTGATATATTTGTTGTCCGATAGGTATGATAGGTTCAGATAAAATCATATAGAGTTTTTATCTAATTTCTATAAAAAAACTTCGTTTTTATCGAATTTTTTAAGCAGGAACAAAAAAATACCACTAAGAGAAAATTCGATTCGAAGATGCACATATTATGATGAGCAAAATTTTTTTCATGGTCATACTTTTTGAAACTTCAAGGTCACCTTCACTTTTTAAAATAGAATTGTATGATTTTTTTACACAATATTATTCCTCTAATTATTTTGCATATAAAAGTGTTAAAGTACGATTATTAAAAAGTTAATAGTTTAGGAGTTATTTAAAATTTTATGTCAATATGTGCCAGAATAAAATATAAAATATCTCGTAGGATAATTCAAACTATTGGATAGCTCGTGAATTTTTTTAACGAGAAATGTTATATCATAAAAAATGATAAAGTTCAACAAATTTAATCTAATATTACTCTCAGATATGGTGCACATTCATCAATCCTAAAAATAATTATACATTGGTCCAGGAGATGCGGGAACAAACACAGCAGTTTGCAACCTCCTTGTTAGACCACGCGCGCACATCTTACGAATTAGAAGTAATGTTAAATTACAATCCTACTGGCGAAAATTGGGACCCTGGGGAGAGACAGACTTTGGATCGTCTTAAACTGGCTATTAAATATAAGCAGAAACAAGTATGTAGATCTTAATCTATATATCTTCACTTACATCTTTATAAACTTTATATGTGTTAGTGAGTATATTTTTCCTCCCATTGTGGGCCTCCCTTTATTTACCATCTCATTCGTGTTCTCTCCAACTCTTACTTTCTTTCTTCTTTTCACACACGCATTAAAGATAATTTATTAAATAATTACAATGTTTATTTTGTGATTTTTTATAATGCGATTTAGCAACAAAATGGTACAAGCGCAATTTTAATAATATTTTTAACAATATAAGACAAATAGCGGGACACGAGCGTTCTTCGTTATTTACATATACAGGGTGTTTCCAAATTAAATCGCAAAACTTCGGGAGCGTGTAGAGGAGTAAAAAACTAAGAAAAAAAGTCCTATAGACATATGCTCGTTT